TACGATTTCCCGAACAATTTACGTTACTCTAATTCGAATCAAAAAGACTATAAAATGTCATCGGCGGGGTCATTTTGGATATCATTGGGAAGCAAAATTGGTTCAGCATCCTAGGGATACCAGAATATGGATCGACCATATAAAATATCGCATTTGTTCACTAAGCATTACCATACAATATACTCCCAACCCACACAGTGACAAAATACTAAAAACAACTAGCACACAAAACATGAATTAAATATTGTAAAATGAAACGATATTTCATAGTTCGACCCATGAAACAAGAGTGCCAGACCCACATGACATGATCATTGGGACAGAACTCTTATTTCATTTTCAACGGAATGATAGAAATACATCTAGATAATTCCGGGATTAATCCTTATGTCTTCTGTCTTCTGTCGATGTGATTTCGGGTCCCACGTTGCAACGTACCTGAAAGCATCAATTTTGACGAACCGTCGTTGTAGTGGAATTATCTTCTCCCACGTTGGACCTGGCCAACGCAATTGCAGGCCTTATATATACTTAACTAAATCGATGTTTTCAGCGAACACAGGAGCAGAAAAAAACTATATACTTATTGCAAATTCACTTGAAGAGAACGTCTGATTGGCCAGGCAAAAGAAACCCGAAATCATGGAACGATAGCAGGCCCAGCTCTAGTCAAGGAAAATCGAAATCTCAAAACTTTTCGTTATTATCAGATTCGAAGGTCCCTGAAGAGAACAGGCGGCACACATTTCGACCATCTTTTAGATTTTCTTTTGCATGGCATATTTGACGAAATTATTTTTTCATTTGGTTTACTGCTAATTAAATACCTATATATTATCTAGATATAAATATATACTCGATTACATGGAAATAAATGTATACTAAATTACATGAAAATAAATATATACTATATTACATGAAAATAAATATATATTATATTATATGAATATAAATATATGTTTACCACATTATGTAATTATAAATATATATTCATAGTATGCATTCAAATGGAACCTGTATTCGCCATTACATTTATTCTCTTATATATATAATGGTGTCTTTCTATTATCAGGAAAGGAATTCGATGGGATACAAACTAATTCTTGGTTGCTCTGAAAAAGAGAAATTTTCTTTTATATTAAAACTTAACTTTTACACTATTTACATTTAATTAATTTTCACCTGAAAAAGAGAAACGACAAATTATGTCTATTCCCAACTCTATCTAAACTTCTGAACTTATTAATTTTTCACTATAAATTCTCTCTCTCTATTGTGCACGTGTCCGTTGCGTTCTTTCTTCTGTCTGATACTCACTTTCTATAAATTGCTTACAGCGCATTACCTAATAGTCGTCTACGCCGGTTTCTACTTTATCCACGCTCTTGTGAGCGTGGTAAATTCAAATTTAAGAAAGTATATTTTCTTTACATCTCCCCCCCCCCAGGGGAAAAACTCACGACAAGGTAAACGGCATCGGTCACTACCGCTCATCGCTTTGTTGTGTCTTTGATTTCTGGGAGCGGTAGAAGTTTTGTTATGTGGAATAAATTTGATTCTGACTTTCTATGTCCCGTGTCAATTCTGTATATTGAGTTTGATAGCTTTTCTATGATTTTATATGGACCGATTCTCAATTCATCTAATTTACTTCTGTTTAATCTGTTACCATTTTCCACAAAGACCATATCACCAACTTTGAATTCATGTTTTTTTCTGTGTTTATCAAATATGTTTTTGTTATAGTTATGGGACTTCATTGTGTTTTCTAATGCTCTTTCCTTATCTTCGTTCCAGTTTCTCTCAGAATATTCTTGTTTTAATTCGTTTGGAAGTATTACTACGTTAGTGCCTTCTAACAAATATATTGGGGCAAATCCTGTGATTGTGTGTTCGGTTTCATTATACTCCTTCACACACTGTCTTGCTATTGTTGTCCAGGCTACTTTCCTGTTTTTCTCATTAATTCTACATCTGATTCTATTAACTAATGTTTGATTCAATCTCTCGTTTAGTCCGTTAGAAAATGGTGAATTTGCTGCTGTGAATATTATTGGTATGTGTTGTTCGTCTAAGAATTTTTTTAATTCTTTCGAGTTTATCCCTGGAT